TCCAATCTTCTGTTAATAAATAGAATGCAACACTAATATTTCCGTTAATTAAACATTGGAAAGTAACTGTAACTTTAGTAATGACTTGGAAAAGAAGATTCCTAATCGATTGTAATGACTTTAAAATATGTCAAAGTCATCATTCTGAATACCTTTCTCCTTTCAGTTTTAGTTTCCGAGATATATTAAAAAATATTTTTAACACCATCCATTCAATGGTTCGTATTTTTTGTGGTTGCAATTAAATTCAAGCGAAATTAGCTTTAAGTACAAATTTCTATTTATATTCATTAATAAATAGGATAATTATACTTCACACTTACCAAATTCATTAGTACACAATTATTTGATAACTAACCCAAACCTAACACATACTCACAAAAATATTATTTTTGCGTGTATCTTTAAGACTAAGGCAACGAGAAAAAAATATTTAGAATGATCTTCTTACATTACAAAATAACATAATATATTTTCTTTACACAACATATTAACATATTACAGTATATTATATAGTACTTTGTCCTATATAGTATATTATAATTCCTCAAATATATTACATTAAAACATATTTCGAAGTCACTGAAATCGATGATCCCTTTTCTGAATAGTTACCGCGACTCCGTCATTCTCGTGAAACGAATCGAGCTCGGTCTTCGCGGTTGTTATAGTCTGACGGAGAAAAGACTTCGCTCATCCTAAAAGTTAAAAAGTCAGGAGCCAAGGAAACTGCAACGGACATCGAATACCACGAAGTGAGATATAACGATAGAGAATGAAATTGGCGACGCTATGAATTTTATTTTCTATCGTCATATCTCACTTCATCGCATTCGGCGTCCCTTCCAGTTTCCTTGCCCCCCTGACTTTTTAGCTTTTAGGACAAGCGAAGTCTTTTCTCTGTCGGACTATAGCAACCTCCTAATCTCTGTCATCATCGTAGAGGTGTCGCGAACGTCGTGTAGCGAGTTTAATACAGTTCCACCGATCGAGGTTCAAATGAAAGTCGGCCGATTGCGCGACAATGCCCGACAAGATCGATCGGTTCGAGCCGTGCACAAGATAATCGATTAACTGCAGCCCGACCGCAGGAAATTCACAGGTTTAATCTGACTCCGGCGTGGGGGAGGGAAAAGGAGAACTTGTCCCGGGGCTACTCGTCGTTCGGTCGTACGATCGTACGTGTCGAGGGCCGATTGCCGCTTCCTCGATGAAATTAGTTCGGTTGCCGTGCACAGAACCGCATCGCCCCGGGGCCACCGTGTGCTCCTTTGATCTGCTCTTCGTTTCGCGAGAACGCTCGGAACCGCGACAATCGCGTAACACGATTACGATCGGACCGTCGCTCTTCGAGCGGAGCCCTTCCACCCACCTCGGCTGGCCTGTCCGATTTCTTGGCACGCTCGCCGACCGAGCGCGGATCGATGCACTCTTAAATGGACGAAATTTCAATTGGACGATCGCTTGGTTCGAGGGGACTAATAGGTGTTCATGGATTGCTGAGTTGAAGCTTGATGAGACAGCGAGCCAGTTGACTGATTTATGCGAATTGTTTTTAGTGAGAAGATTATCTGGATACACTGTGGTGTCCTATTTTAATCTATGGAATCAATTATCTTCGGAACTGCTCGTTATTTAAGAAATGTCTGAAATGTTATTTTTCCTGGTTGGAGAAGGCATGTAATTTGGTACGCTTAGTTCATATTTTAGGTGAACTTTGTAGTACATATGAAAGTCACTACTAGTATTTTAAGTATGATACTTTTGTGTCAATTGATGTAGGACATTCTTTGCAAAAGAGTCATAACCTAATTCAATATGACAGAGAAAATTCCGTTTGAGACATTTTTTAGATAACAAATATTACTGAAGATAATTGCATTTATAGATTATAATGGAACACCCTGTATTTTGTTATAAGAAGATGTTTGTAGTCAGTTGAATTATTTTTTTATCGGTATAATGATGATGTGATAACGACGTAATAACATTATAAGTATACTGAGACTACTACTGACTGATATAAAGTATTCGATTAAACAAATAAAGTTTCTACTGGTACAATTATTAACTTGTTGAGTATAGAAAATATTTTCATTAATGGCCAAAATGAATACAGTGAGGATTCATATTTTGTATAAATGAAACATTAATTTAGAAATGAATGTTTGTTTTCTTATGAAGTAGTCAATATCATTTCCTCTGTAAACACATTATGCGCAAAATTGTGTTACGATGACTTATACTGACGAATAAGAGTATTCTTCAATTTGAATAGAAATTTAAATCATGCATATGACACTTGCTTATATGTACTTTAAATACTCAAATAATTTCTTACTAATGTTTAACCATTTAATTTCAATTCAAATTCTGAGTAAACTTATTTGTACTAATAAAAATAATGTAAAAAAGGGAAGATACTAAGAAGTAGCCCTTTGCAATATATAAATCGTGGAATTTGCAATTATTTAAAAATAGATTGCAGTGTTTTTTACTTTCTTTTTTACTCTAACTTGACGGCTAAAATGACTAAAAATCTTTCAATAATATAATCGGAATCCATTGACACCGAATAGTTTAATACAATCGAGTAGTGTCTTATTAAAATTTCGCTATTTTGAGAGCATGTATATACATCGAGTCGCAACAATATTTCTCTTATCGAAACGAACAATCTCGCCGTTAAAAATGATATCCTAACCCTAAAAACGATGAATAAATGATAAATTATGCTGTTAATAATTATATTACTGCATACGTAATATATAAATGGTACGTAATATTTAAGTAAAGTCTCAAATAAATAATCACAATTACAAGTAAGAAAAGAAATTCAACTTTGGTTAGAGGTTCGAAAGATCTTGATAAAATTCTTCCACATTCACCCAGTGGCCATGGTATTAACGTCAGAAATTCGCATTAATACTAGAATAATAACGATGTGCGTGCATGGAACAGGGAACGGCATCGACATACGACACGCGTAAACCGAACACGACACTTCGAACAGAACAACACTCATACCAAAAATGGACAAAGTACTATTTCGCGTGTGCGATGAAACCGATAAAAGTGCTCACAAAAAGAAAACTCGTAGGCTACACTCAGAAAAGAAACGAAAAGAAAGAAATAATAATAAGAAACCGAGAAGACCACGACGACGAGAATGAATGAACGAAATTCCGTAGATTTCACAACAATCGTCTTGTCCCGTGTGTATAGTAGTAGGCGGATGGTTTGTATCTGTTTACACGCATAGTCACTAGAAAGGCACACGTTGTTCTCTCTACTTTTTTTCCACTCAATTTTCCAATAATCTACGTCATGTCAATGATACTATTTCTATGAACGGCCTACAATCATTCTCGATCTTACATTTTTCCGAGTGTAGACGAATATATATACATATATATATATAAATTGTATAAACGTTACAACAATATATATACATGTATGTATATATATATATATACATAAATAATTTACTGTCTCCTGCTTGTTACTTTTATTAGCCTAATGCTGTCTGAAGCGTGGTTTGCTCTATATTATCCGTAACGGAACCGAACGAACACTTTTGTTTCCTCTTATAGTAGAACAATAGTATCTTGTTCAATTTTGGATATTAACATACGCACGACCATCCCGTTAGACCATTTTTAGACGCTAGCTGCTATGCCGCGGTTGCTGAGATGGGCTGCCCGCCTGCCACCACTTACAATTATTATTATTCTATATTTTATTCCACCCGAAAAAACCCCTTTCGACCGCCCCTGCCCAAGCCATATCACTGATCACACTACCTATTCTCACCCCCTAACCACCCACCCCTTTCGAGAAACCCGATATCTGACACCGCACGTATCACACGTACGTTTTATTCGAACACGAAAACGTTTAACCCGGTTCCACGTGTCTCCAAGAAAACATGTAAGAATCACGTACGAAAGGAAAGCAAACGAACAGAAATTAGAAGATAAGAAATGTGTCCGTCCGATAGTTCTCGGTATATTGAATTACATTGTTCGAAAAGAGGGACCGTTCGCCGATGATTATTAGCCCGGAATCGACGATCGCAGTGACAATGACAGCAATTTCTAGCTATGATGCGTTCCACGTCTGTTCTAACCGTTTCACGAGTTAGATTTCGATTAGGAGGACAGACGAATTAAACGAAAAATATCAGACAGCCGAAAATAGAGAACAGTGAAGCATACGCACGTAGAGACACGCGTGTACGTAGGGAAAACCGTTGCAAGGGAAACTTGTAACGGGCAGAGAAAAGAGTAACCGAGTGGTACGAAAGAAAGCGAAATTGAATAGGATGAGAATAATTTTTTTTCGAATAAGGTAAAGTCACCTTGCTGCGTGACTGTGATGGGTGTATATATACATACATACATATACATACACATACCATACACATACACATACACATACACATACACATACACATACACATACACATACACATACACATACACATACACACACACATGCACGCACACATACACGCACACATGCATATATAGATATATATTTTATACAACGGTTCAGGAGTATATATATACGTATATATGTAAAACGTCAGTCAAGTATGAATAATTCTTCTAGCTCGGAAAGCAATGTGGCCGACGAGTGCTGTTGATTTGGTTCCGTGCAGGGTGCGAGCTCTCTTCGACTTGTACGCTTGCATTTTACCCCTGACTTTCGTGTTTCCTTCAGCAATGTCATTAAACATTCTAAGATAATCAGCAACGAATTTACATTCATTCGATCGTTCGACTAAGCTTTAAACTAAAAAATTACAAGCGCTTAACGACGAATGCTGAATAGGGACATTAATTCAATTCGACATTCAAGTTACCCCGTGAGTCAGGGGTAAGTTACGAACTTACGGTTGTTGTTCTACGTACAATCTACCAGTCACATGTACGGAAACATAAAAAACCAGCGGATAATCAGAGCGACCAAGGCCGGATTGGTTTTGTTGATTGCAGGTCCACCAGTGGAGGTCGGCGTCACCATGTACGTCCTCAGCATCAGCTCCGTGTCCGAAGTGTTGATGGTACAGTTTGCATTCTCAAACTCATACAGAACTCACTCAATCGACAGCCGTGTTCGATCATCTCCGTCTTCCTTGACCCAAACTCGTTCGTACGGGCCCATTTATTAAACCCCTTCTACATCACATCGTTCACACGTAAAAAGAAAAGAAAATAAAAGAAAAGAAAAGAAAAAAAGGAAAGAAAATACAATACGGCAAAAAACACATTTCGATCGTTCGACGGATGAAATCGTCGCGTCAATCGATCGCGATTTGGACGTCCCGATCGCGCCGATTCATCCTCTCCACTACGCCGCTCGGTCCCGATTGTTTGTTTCGTGATTATCCCGCGGTGTGCGTGCGTATCCCACCGCGTTCGTGAATATTCATGAGTTCGCGCGCGGAAATTCGAAAGAACAACATCCGACAGGGGCTGCCTGGGATGCGTGTGCGTGGACAACGGAGTGGGGAGGTGAGGGAGCGTGTTGTTCTAATAAATATTCGACTGAATATTCATGTAGTTACCATTTCGCTCGTTGAACGAGACCGATGAAGCCCACGGACCATTGGTATTCGCGCGAGAACGAATCGTGGTAGCTCGTTTGTACGTCGGTTACTGTTTGCCGCGGCCGGAAATATTTCCTTTTTACACACTGAAATCTCGAAAAGTTTCAATTTCGTCGCATCAGTGGAAAGTTGCACCAGGGGACGCACGAATACCGCGGCTCGCGACATTAATTCGCGTCGGCAGCGAGCAGCGTATTGGCACTAACACATACAAACATACACATATACACATTCGCATCGACATACGCGTGTCACACGGAACAACACGCAGTCATACAGACAGACATAAACGTACATACTGAAAAATACACGAGTACACTACACGGATGGCCTACTAACCTACGTTTTTATAGCTCGTCACAGCTGTTTGGTTGGCTGAACTGTTACAAGGGAACCTTGCTACGTTCCACAGTCTTCGCAAGATATATTCTTGTCCACTTCGTTTATGGTTTATGGTTGACTCGTTTAATTCGATTTGCGATGTTCTTGTTGCATGGCCCTACCCGCGGCGCTCGAATCGGCGAGACCGAGAGGTCAATAACGGGGGACAAAGAAGGCTGCGATTAGCGGCGTACTGTCGCGGGGGTGGGAGTGGCAAACGAAAACGTACCACAAAAAGCGGAACGCGGCCACCGAAAAATGCGTTCGACCGTGCGGCGATCCGCTCTCTCTAACGTTTTTTACGGTTGTCCCGGCCGCAATATCGTTTTCCGGCGATTCGTTTTATCGCGTAGAGGGGATTTACGAGCCGAGGAATAAAAGTGTTCGTCGGGCCGCGTTTCAAACACTCGACTACGCGACGTATCTCGTCGGGCCCGTTGGGTTTCTCTGGGTTCGCGCCGCTTAAAAATTACATGCAACGATGCCTTCCGCTTGCAAACAGCGCTCGTGGAAATCGGATCAGTCTGCGAGCTGAAATCATTGATAAAGAAGGAGAAACAAGAAGAAAGGGAGAGAGGGTAAGAGAGTAAGAGGGTAAGAGGGAGAGAGAAAGGAGAGAATTCGCGATTCGAGCACCGCAGGCCGCACATACGCTGGAGGCACGCATATATACGCGTAGACCGTACATTATACACGTTTCAGTTCTTTTTCCGTAAGTTCTCTATTAGTTGTATACATACGTATATAAGCGTGTTACGCAGCCTCACGTATGGTATACATATATACATATATGTATATATATACTTACATATTATATATATATTTTTCTCTCAATATTTAAGATATATACGTGTATAGGCGTAATTATATATGGCGTATTGTGTATTGCGTATACCTCCTGTAGTGTTTCGAAGGTATATTGTCTGTTCCGGTGTCTGCAATCAGTTTCAAACCGACGCTTGGAAACTGGATCGCGTCCTGTCGATACGTTCCGTCGAATAATTTGCAATCGAAAAACGAATCGTTCCTTGAATGGAAAAGAATTGCGTTATGGCTCGATTTATCGGAACTTCATTTATCTCGACAATATTCGTTTATAAACAGTTGCTTTTCTCCTGAAGAACTTTTACGAATAAGTGACTGTAGCTGAATTCCTATTATCTGAAGTAATGACGATCCTCGTGTCAATTGGACGGACGCTTTATGTATTGAACTATAGGTAATAAAAACAATTTATTTCTGTCGTCGTTCTTGTTCACACAAAGAAATAAATCTAGCGGATTTTACTAAGTTACTGTTCTCATAAGTCATATCCAAATTTTGAAATATTTGAGGCCGTTGTGATACGATAAATAAAATAAATCAATGATTTTCAACCTATACTTCACGAAATTTTTAGATTTACAGTATAAATACATCAACCTTTACTTTTTCTCTTTAATTGGAGCAGGAGAAAATATTGTTCAGTACGCCGTCATATTTCAATAAGTAATATAACCTCATCGTGAAATGAAAAAGGAAGAAAATTGCTGAGCTCAACTTATTTGAACGGGAATTCCAGTTATTCGGATGAAAAATCATACGTAGAGAAAATCAGTGAACTTCTTTATGTACAAACTATTGAACGGTTTTTCGTCCAGTAAGTTCATATAAATGGAGTTATGCTTTAACAATTAATTCTTAAATTTAGAAAAAAAGGAAACAATAATTTAAAAAAATCATGAGAACATTCATTAGCAAAAATAATAGGAATGTTAATTTGGAGAAACAATGGGAACATTAATTTGGAGAAGCAATAGAGATATTAATTCGGAAAAATAGTGAGGACATTAATTCGAAAAAATAACAATATATTAATTTTAACAAATAACAATAAAATTAATTAGAAAAACAATAAAAATATTCATTTGTATAATAATGGGAACAATAATTTAACAAAATAATAGGAATGTTAATTTAAAAAAAAAATTAGCATTAATTTGAAAGATCAAGGAGGAATCAACCGTTGGAATACCGCCTAAAATTGTGCCCAAAAAGGCGCGTCAACGCGCGAAAACAGTCAAACGAATGCAAAATTCCTTGCGAGACCAAAAGGAAGCCCCGTGAACACCGAACCGTCGCGGCGAGAATTGCTCGCCGCCCAAATCGGGATCCAGAAAAGCGAGTTTGGAGCTGAATGCACGAGACTGGACCCCAGGTGTTGAGCCCTGTGCGGAAACCAAATCAAGTCGACACTGTCACCTGGGACGTGACTCGCGATTTTTGTATCCGTTGGCGAGCCTCCACGATGCATCCCTCCATTTCTCCTTCCTCATTCCCGTCCCCAAGCGTCCCTCAACCCCAGATGTCCTCCAGGACGAGTCCGAAACATCGTTTCTCGAAACTCGTTCACGCAAAGAACGGTTGCTTCACGGGCGACCGTGCAAAGAAACCAATTTTCCCATCAATTTGCCAGGACCCTTTCATCTTTTCCTACGAGACAAACCGTGCAAACGAAAAGGATCTCTCGCGCGACACCGCGGGACGGCTGTGTCTTTTTCTTTTCCTCTTATCCGATGTTTCCCACCGTAGATCCAAGAACGTCGCGACGTATCAATGCGATGCCCGTTCTCGAATAACGAAACAGGACCATGAAAAAGAAAACGTGGCGAAAAAAGAGAAAGAATTTTGGACAATTGAAACTCATGTATCCGCTGTGTCCCTTTGCTCCCATCTGGCCAGCCGACGATCAGCCATTTAGAGACAGAGTACTCTTTAGCTCGTGCGACGTTGCGACTACGTGATCATGCAATTACATTGTTTATTGATATATATAAATATATATATTTATATATATATATATATATATATATATATATATATATATATAT